CTGCAGGGTGATGTTGTTAATGCTAGAGGCGTCGATCCCGGAGATCTGCACATTTGGACCCACGAGGTTCGCAGCCAGCTGCAACTGAATGCCCTCCAGGGCGGCCAGCCCGCCATCCGTCAGAGACACAGTCAAGTCTCCACCTGCTGGCCAAAGAGAAGGGGAGACAGACAGAATTCTCACACCTGGCCAAGCCTGCTTCACACAGGGATGGGTACAGTGCCTGTTCCTCACATCCTCTCATCGTGGCCCAGAGCATGGCCTAACATCCAGTGGCTCCGTCCACGTCAGCATCAGGAAAGCAGGCTGGATACCACCACCTGGACAGGCCACAGGTGGAAAAAAAGCCCCATGCCCAGTGGGAGGAGCAGGAGACAACCCCTTTGACAAGTGCCAAAGCCATCCTTACAGAGCCAAGTCCAGGAAGGCAGGCCACCCAGGATGTCTGAGTGCTCTTAACAACGACCAGGGCCATTTGTGAGCTTCCTAACGGTCACACTTGTGACAATGTTTGCCCCAATGAGAGTGAGACAGCTTGTGAGTGGGCAGACCTCAGAGACAGTGTGGCCTAAGCTCAGGTGGCTGGTTGGTTCCAGTGCTTATCAAAGTGATGCAGACACTGGACAGTGTCTGTGGGATGTGCAACAGCATGATCGGAAAGTCTCAAATGCCACAAGAGTTCCACAGAGGGACACAGACACAAAGCAAGCCCGTGCTGCCAGGAAACCACAACAACACATTTGCTCACACACAGCTGTCACCAACTTTCAGTCACAACACCCAGAACCTGTGATGCACAGCCACGCAAAGGGCAGCCAGGCGAGGCGGTCTGTGCACCGATGACCGGGCAGGGCTCCGTGACTGACACATCTGACCTCTAACCTGTGAGAGCGCCAGCTGACCACCTGGACCCACCCAGCTCCCCAGCTCCCAGTGTCGGCCAGCCCCACCAACAGCCCAGGAGAACAATGGACGGGGAAGGGGAGAGAATGGACACACTCGGGCTGACAGCAGCATCCCATGACTAGGCCAAGACTACAAAGGCCGACGGCCCAATGGGCACTCACCAGACATGGATGCAGGGAGGATGGCCTGGCCCACCAGGCCCTGCTGGAGTAGGTTCTGGTCAAATTGTCCTGAGAGGACTGAGTTGTTCATGATGAAGACGCTGGAGTCAGAGGAGGTGGCGCCCAGCACACTGACAGGGGGCAGCCCCTCAGAGCCGCTGCGGGCAGCAGGGCGCCGGGCCTTGCGGGGGTCGGGCTTGTAGTGGAGCTGCATGTGCGTCTTCCTGCGGCCAGACGTGCGGAAGCGCAGCTCACAGTGTGGACACTTGAAGGGCTTGGCACCCGTGTGCAGGCACATGTGGACCTTCAGGCTGCCCTTGGTGGAGAAGGCGTTGCTGCACACATGGCAGCTAAAGAGCTTCTGGCCTGTGTGTGTCTTTACGTGGCAGTCGAGTGTAGACTTCACAGTGAAGCTCTTCCCACACTCCTCACACGTATACGGCTTTCCCCCAGTGTGGATACGAACGTACCTGACCAGGTCGCTGGGCTTCTTGAAGCTCTTGGGGCAGTAGGTGCAGCAGCTTGAGCTGTCCACCCCTGCAGTCAGCACCCCGTCCACAGGTGCCACCTTGACAATAAGCAGTGACCAGCTCCTGTCCCAGAGCACAGCACTCAACTCTGCAGAATTTAGCACCACTGCTGGGAGTCTTCCTGTGGCCACACCCATGTCTCCATCCACCATCTCCACGCAGAACCTGGTCATGGCATCCTCAGGGGTGGGAGGCGACGCCAGCGTCACCCTCACACTGGCTGACACTCAGGGCATGCTTTCCGGAGGCCTGGACACAGTGACGCTCAACATCACCTCGCAGGGTCAGCAGTTCCCAGCACTGCTCACCGACTCGTCCCTCTCAGGCCGGGGCAGCACCGGATCCCCGCAGGTGATCCTGGTCAGCCACACACCCCACACGCCATCAGCTGGCTGCGAAGAGCTGGCCTACCAGGTGACTGACGTGGCCCCTGCCCTAAGGGCAGCCCGCCCGAGAAGGAGGGCCGGGCGCACCCGTGCCTGGAGTGCAGCCGGGCCTTCTCGTCGGCCGCCATGCTGCTGCAGCACAACAAGGAGGTGCACGGCCGGGAGCGCATCCACGCCTGCCGCCTCTGTGGCAAGGCCTTTAAGCGCGCCACACACCTCAAGGAGCACATGCAGACACACCAGGCCGGCCCATCCTTGAGCTCCCAGAAGCCACGAGTGTTTAAGTGTGACACGTGTGAGAAGGCGTTTGCCAAACCCAGCCAGCTGGAGCGACACAGCCGCATCCACACAGGGGAGCGTCCGTTCCGATGCACGCTGTGTGAGAAGGCCTTCAGGTGCACATGAAGAAGCATACGGGCGAGCGGCCCTACAAGTGCGAGTGCTGTGCCATGGGCTTCACGCAGAAGAGCAACATGAAGCTGCATATGCGGCGCGCGCACGGCTACACGGGTCCCCTTCAGGATGCTGCCAGCCACACAGAGCAGGACACGGCGGGGCTGGGCCGGACGCTGCACCTGGAGGTGTCTGAGCCGGCCGGTGAGTGGCAGGCCCTGGCCAATGTCTTCTGACAGAAGGGAGACAGACTTTCTGCTCCACATCCCCAGGTCACCTCTGAAGAGTTGAAGGCGACAGTGCGATTGTTGTTTCTAAGGTAATATCCCGAGAGGTACTGTCCTTCAGAGACTCGGAAGGCTCGGACCAGGGATTCTGCTAAACTCAGGGACTCCGGCTGGCCGTCTCATCTGCCCCATGGCCACACGTCTGGTCAGCAAGGGCCTCACTGGGCCTGGCACTGCTCAGTGTCACTTGTGGGTGTCAGCAAAAGCAGCGTTCACACAGAGAGTACTGGCTTCCCGAGACAGGAGCCCTGGAGCACAGTGGGCGGCACAGAGAAACGTCCTCGTGGGGGGCGGCCCTTCTGCTGCCTCCCCTGTGCATTTGGGAAGTTGTTGGAAACGGACCCTTTCTAGCCTGCCGTAGTAACGAATTGATAGCGTGAGAGACGGCGGACCCGTTCTCTCCATGAGCCACAGGACACTGACCCCGTGCGCTGCTGGGCAGAGGACACTGCCCGTGGTGACAGTGTGGGCATGCGTCTCCGAACATGGACGGGGGACGGCCGCCGTGGAAGCACAAGCCATGTGAGGGCAGGAAGGACACACAGCCCACCCTCCCAGCAGCGCCCACACGCTGGGAGCAGCCGAGGACACGCCTTCCACGCGAAGATGACCAGTTTCTTTCAGGGAATCCGCTGGCATCGTCCAGGCTGCCCCTGCCCCCGCGTGCCCGACATTCCAAAGATGGAAGCCCCCCGACCTTGTGTCTCCCTGGAGTATTTAGATGCTGTGTGTAAATACCTGTGCACAGTGCACCAGCTGCCCGCTGAGCTGTGCGTGTAAATAGTCCGCCTGCCTGCCTAGTGCCCTGGCCCAGGCCATCCAGACGAGCAGGTCTTCCCCGTGTAACATGCAGCCAGCTTTTATTTTGTGTTTTCTTTCCTGAAAAATAACTGCCTTTATTTTCTGCCATTGCCCTGTTGATTTCAGAAGAGTCATTTTATTATAAATATTGTATGGACTTGTATATATGAGAGGAGACCATATTCGAAGGGACCATTTCAGAGCCTTACAGAGAGACACTTGACTCGTCTCGAAAGAGAGTCTGTGAGTCCTGGTCCCTGTCCTCAGTCACAGCGGGCATCTGTATATAAGTAATATTGATGCCACATGAGAACTTTCGTTATGTGAAAAATATTTAAGCCAGAAAACTTAAATAATATTACTTCTTTTCCAAAAAAAAAAAAATACTTCAGTTTCTGTGTCAGCACTTAGTGTTAGATACTAGATTTTGTGTTGTAGAACAGGCTATTAATTTAGTTTCTTATATCTGATTAGAATCTAGTAATTCTAAAATTACTCAGTCTTGATACCATCTTTTGTGAAATTCAATACATCATTATAATACATGGTGTTCAGTGGTGTAGAGGATATTAAGAAGCTTAAGGAGTGAACAGTAGTGAGGGAGGAGAAGTCATTTACAACATGACGATATGGGCTTTGGAAGGTGGTACAGGAATGTTGTAGATGTGCAAGGGAATGCTGTTATTTCTTATTTGAGGAGAAGGCGGAATAGAGAAAGCATCTCAGACTTCAGAAAGAGTGAGCAGGGGCAAGGAGGAAGAAAGAGTGGACTGTCACTGGAATTGTAAGAAAACCCTTTGCCTTAAGTACAGAATCTATGCAGGTGAGTACTAAGGGGAAAATGGAACATAAGTTGGAGTGGTGTCAAGGAAGCGTCACTGGGAAAGCAGTGATTCATCAAGCTTTTGGAGTGACTTGTTCCCTATTCAGCTCCATCATAGTATCTCAGAGATTAACTTAAGATCTGCTAAATTGTATTAAAATCTTATTCTAACTCTTCTGTGATGCAGAGGGATTTAATTTTAAAACACAAAACAAAACAAGGATTTCTGCCATGAACAGACTTCTCTTCTAGCAATTATTTCCTTTCAAAACATCTAACCTCATCATAGCACACGATAATAACTTTTGAAATAATTTGAGACCCATGATTATTATAGAACATTTAGAAAATGCATATGAGTAAAAATTGTTGTTGTTATGTGCCATCGAGTCGCCTGCGACTCATAGTGACCCTATGTACAATAGCCCTAAAC